TTCCCACGTAGAAGTTCACGTATCGGCCAGCTGTTTCTTGCGAGTAAAGCGGAGAAACGGTGTCCTCCCAGAACATATCAGGTTTGACCTCAGGCACATCATCGTGCACATTGTCAACTGCTGTGAGAGCAATCTGAATTCGATGTAGTAATCGCTGCCGCTTTTTCGGCCTCCCATTTTCTGGATTTGCTATAACTGTTACGCAAGAAAATGATTTCTATAACTATTATGCAAGAAAATGATTTATAAGCTGTACATCTGCTAGATGTCATCTTTAAAAGTAGTGGACAGACAAAATGGACTCTTTTCTTTTGGAGTTAGGTAGTACACTTTCAAGTACAACGTAGCTCAAACCCCAATTCATGCAAAATACGCTTCAAAACTTCACCAGCACTTCCCACTTCCATGAGTGGGCGTCATTGGTGGAGTTTTATTTCAGGAACTAGCGCATGAATTGGCAGGTGCGGTCTCGGCTACGGTGTACTTTGGGGTCTACACAAGCAAAATTTGCAACAGTAGGATGATTTTGTTTACTATCACAAAACTGGAAACGTTGAAATGGGAATATGCAAGAATTTCGCGTCAAACTGGTTATAAACGGGAACTTTCGCAGGACTTTCTGAAAAACGCTATGAAAATTTCGAAAGTGCCAGAGGTTCAGCAGCACTTTGACCTGCCAGTATTTCCGTGGGTTTTGAATGTGTTGTCTCTCTCGATGTTGTCCGCCAACAACTAGGGTGCGTTGTCGAACGTGTCATCCGTAGTATAGAGCAAGGTTCCAATCTTGGCTGGATGCTTCATTTTGCTTTTGTGATTCGCATTTTTCGGAACATCCACGGCACCTTGTTTGGGAATTTGCGCAGCACGTAAGTAACTTCCGCAGGTGACCTGGCAGAAGCTTTCCAGAACGTTCTGCGGAAGTTGGGTCAGTTGTCTTGGACCGTGGGGGAATGAACAATGAATAAAAATTACCTAAAATTGGGCTTATAGGACATCTAGCAGACGAATCCGGCTTGACACAGATTAGACCGCTTTGGATTCATCTGACAATTTAGGGTAGTAAGGAAGGATGGATTTATTTTTGGAGCGAACACAAAACGGACTTATCTCAGTCAAAAAACCAGCCTTCTACGTCAGATTCTATGGTAGTTAATTTTTAATAGATTTTTTTCCGTCGTCGATCCTACACTATTTATTCTAAGGATTTCAGTGCTTCTGAACTAGTCCAACCGCTGCTTTTAATTATATATCTATATCCTAACAAATCAGCTCTTCTGGTGCTGAATGTGTCATGATAGTCATTCTTCTTCAACATAGCGAATTTCGTGACATTTTTGAAATGTAAAATGCATGAAAGCAATATATCACTGAACATTATACTCTTTTATCAGCGATACATGAAACCCTTTCTACCATAATGTCTGTTTGAGGTCCTCTCCATGTGGCCAAAATCAAATATTAGTTGCAACTCACTGTGAGGTTTCTATCCAGAAGGAAGTTGCAATCAAAATCGTCGTCATCTTCTCCAAAAGGATTGAGTAGCTCCATAGCAACTTTCATCCATCCGACATAGAAAATGAACTCGAGTGATGACATGAGCGGAAAGTAAAGATCCACCTAAAATTGGAAACAGTGGCGCCTTATTCACAAATTATATGGGAACGAACCACAGTATAGTTGGCCGCGGTTGGGGTAATGATGAATTGGCGAGAGAAGATACAAACGAAGAAATACGCATGAACAGCCATAAAGACCAGTTGAGGGTACATGACAGGCAAAGGAACCCAATCGTAGGTCCAAATAAGCGAAAGACCAGTTCGGAACGCGCGAATTTCCTGACGTATAGGGAAATTTGAGCTATCAAATCCGCTAAGGTGTAAAGGCCACCTACTTCAGCTATTGTGCTTCTGGGGATGTCTCCGTCAAGTCTCTTCTCTTCGAGAGCAA